TCCGGATTATTTGAAGGAACGTTTTCAATTTCTTTGCTCCTCTCATAACCTTCCTCTACGTTCAAATGAAAACCTCTTCCTTAAAAATCCTTTGCGATCAACTAGTTTTTACCATAAATCCTTCTCTGCTGTCGCTGTTAAACTCTGGAACTCTTTACCTTTGGCTATTAAACGTGCTCAAACCCTAGATTCGTTTAAAAGACAGGTTAAGAAGCATTATCTCTCTGTCTAGCTCCTTTCTATCTCTCGATGTCTTTCTTCTCTTTTTATTTCACTCTTACTTTGATGATCACACACAAGAGGTATGTTTTTCTTATTACTTTAATTTTTGTTGCAACTTACTTTTTACTTAATTTCACGATTGTGATATTTCTTGTACATCTTACCCAATAAGAATTTCTTTTGATTCATTTCTGAGGTTGCCTGGAAGAAATTGCTGTGCAATAAGGTCGCCTTTTGATGACCAATATTTGATAAATATTTTGTTTAGTTCTGTACTTTTTTCTTTTTTGGTGTACAATAAAGCATATTATTATTATTATTATTATTACCGTAACGTTTCTAAAATTCTCCGTCTATCCGAAAAGAATTGCTTTAATCAGAAAAAATCATAAAAAACAGTTTAGTTTTAGAATATCATACATTTTATTAAATGCAATAAATTCATTCATGTATTATTTTGACGAATAAGTGTAATTTTTTATCAAATTTAATAAACACTTCAACTTACTTCCTCCACAGTAAATTGTTATCTCTAGAGAGCCAGAAGCATGCAGTCTGTTTACAAGTCGGGTAATGTAATTAAGTAAATAGTCTAATGGTTTACACGTCAAGTGCTTAACAAGTTACCCGAACTAAGTCCGTACCTAGTCTTTTATGTAAGCAAGTCGCTTGGAACAAACTTCAATTTCAACATTTGCGAAGTCGTTGTGAATCAAATAAGGCGTAAGTTAAGAACTTTGGTGCAAACATTGAGCATGAAGCGCTCGTAACTTTGAATCCCAACAAGGTAGAAGGTTCTAAAGAATTAAAAAGAAATCCCACTGAGTCTCTTTCGCTGGTTCTTCTCAGTGGGTTTTCTTATCCGAACCGGTGTAGGAATTTGTCAATCAATAAGCAATGCTTCTATCCTTACTAATATTATAAAGGCGAAAGTTTATATGTATGGATGAATGTTTGTTACTCTTTCACGCAAATACTACTGAATGGATTTTAATGAAACTTTACAATAATATAGCTTATACATCAGAATAAGAAATAGGCTATAATTTTTATACATATTTTATGTATATCTGTCTTAATGTTACGTCTTCAGCCTATTCTACGTAGTCGCGGGCAGCAGCTAGTGATGAATAATGTTATTTGAATTTGTTCATCAACGTTTAGCCGAACTGATAAAGTCCCAAAATCTTTACAGTTGCAGCCCATCGCCATCAAATGGATAGAAGCAATAGATATATAAGCTCCTCTCCAGCCAGACTACAGCAACCGATCGAGTCGAGGTTCGGCACTCATGGGCACCCTCGAATCGGAGGGTACTGAGCTAAGCGGGTACTGAGTAAGAGCTCCAGCCGAATTCCTTCTCGAGAGGGCCTTGAACCTAGTCACTCCATGGAGCGTCCGCCGAAGCGACCTAAGAGCTTGGCTGCCTCCCAAACCTGTGAAACTAACAATAGCTAGACGGCCCGAGCCGAGGCTCCCTCGGGACCCTTTGTTACCCATAAATCGAGGTACAGGCGCCCTCAGCGGCCGGCCACCTCAAGCCCGGTGGATCTGTGAAGGACCCTAAGGCCAGCAATGGTTGATCCAACCTAAAAAATGTATCCTATAGATAACTATTAGATAACTATCACATTTTTTTTTCAATTTTTCCACAATACAATTCCACTCAAACGAGAACATAGTAGTTTCATTGTCTGACCTATTTTCTACGGGTCAATTTAGTGAATTTTTCTCATCAATCAATTTAGTGATCCACTTTAACGAAAGTTCGATACTCATACCATCAACGTATAAAAGCGTACACTGTGAAGCGTAGGACGCGACAAACAGTAACGACGCACACAGAGGCGCGGGGCCACCGGTTTTTCCCAAACCATAAGAGTGGACCTGTCGCATAAAGAATCGGTGTCCTTTTTTGACCGTCTGAAAATGCATTAAAATTTCAAACAAAAAACTGGTAAATTGTCTCCGCGATCGCAGTTGCAAGCTTCCGCTGGGGCCGGAGGGGGGGAGAGTGTTTTTGCCGGTGATGCCTTTCGGGCGACGGGGGTTAACGCGCTGGTGGGAAGGGGAGAAAGCGGCGGTGCGCAGCCCTAATTGGGGGGCCAATTGTATCCGCTCGAAACGCAGGGCTGTCACCTTGCAGTCGTCATTGTACGCCGCATGACGGACGAATGCCTTTGAAGGTCATAAGGATCGTATAAATGTAATTCGCTCCATACTCATAGCATTGTAACGTCAGAATTATTCCAATTATAATGTTTAGATGTTATTCATTATTTAGATTTATTTTTCGTTATAATTATTACCCGCTGGGGTAATTACACAGTGTTGGTCGTTAATAATTAATACTTTTTTTGTGTTTTCAACTTAAAACTTTGCAGATTCTCGCATTACTCAGTGATAGGAAGACTGATGTAGGAACAGTAGAAATAACAATCGTTTGATATATAAACATAAATCTAGTAACAACATAAATAAACTTTATTCTCTGACAAAGGATTCCAATTTCAACATGCATGCTATAAAACAATGTCATGTTCCAGGGTCTGCGTATAACTGGAAATTGCGTGAACCAGTGCTATGCTAAGATGCTCTCACAATTTTAATGTTCAAATCAAGTTGTTATAAGCTTCGCAAGCGTTATATATTTATATATATATATTTGCCGAATAAAATAGGTTGTCTATTATAAGCTGTTTCTATTGTTGTGCCGTGCCGAATTAACTTAATCTACTCGCTTAGTTTTCCTTTGTTAAACTAAAACATCATTAAAAGGTTAGAAACTTTAAAAATTTGGTTATTTTTTATGTTTATGTAGATAAACTTCACCTTACATAATTGCACATAAAATTCTATTGTTGTATTCAAAAGATAAGTAGTATAAAAACTATATTCGATATAGAATTTTATTCAAATATGTACATAATATATTTCAGGACACATATTAAACCACGTTCTAAAGTCCCAAACTAAGGAAAGCTTGTACTAAATGACTGATAAACATAGTTTTATTTATTTTATTAAATAAATACATATTAAAGATATATAAACAATTAGGCCCTGGAAAATCATTATGTTGATCACACAATATTTTTTCATTGGTCCCCACCACATCGAACCCACACCCTCTGGCGCTAGAGATAGGTTTCTATCCACTAAGCCAATCGGGACGAATGACTATATAATTTAATAAAGCACCAAAATTATACAATATAAATAAAGCTGGCGTAGCGTTGAGTTGTTAGAGCTAATATTATTTGGCATAATAACCTTGCATTTTGTTTCAAGCAGATCATGTTTTATGTATTACTGAAAAATGAACTAAAAGCTTTGTTATTTATTGCTTTATTTTTATTTTTGTAATAATCTTTAAAAGGCTAAACAATTGTGCATATTATTCATAAAGTTAGTTCAAGTATTTATTCCGTTATGTGCTTATGTAATTCATCTGAGACGAGCAGACGTTTTACGTTATAATTTTCTAAATCAAGAGAATCAAGTGTTACGAGCTGTACTTAGTCTAACAACTAAAGTCTAACAGCCCGTATATGTCCCACTGCTGGTCAAAAGCCTCCTCTGCACAGAGGATATTAGAGCATGGCCCACCACGCAACCTCACTACAGATTGGCAGACTTAACATATCTTGGAAATTCATTCAAAAATATGCTTATGATACATTCATTATTGTCGGGACCGCAATTTGAACTCAGTTTGCTCAAGTATATTAAATTAAAACCGAGCGGTCAGACACTAAGCTATCACGGCTATCTCCCTACCAAGCTATACTCCAAGATCTGGATTAAATTTAAGTTAAAAAACTATTGAAAAAAATAGAACATCGCTAGTTAAAACGAACTGATCAACTTTAAAATATAGATGAAGGGTTCCCTAACAAATCTTTTTTTTTTTATTTATAAAATATATTAAAACGTCACCTTTGATATTCTTGACAGATAATGTTACGAGCTTGTGGTGTACTTTTGTAGTTAACGAGAGTTGAGAGTGATTTTTAACCAATCGAATATGTTGTTATGATATGTCGTTATTATGATATATTTTCGATATAACAAACAGTTATCGAATACGAGATGAATGTGTGTCCCAGCCCGGAGGTAGATGACGATGTGGTGATTTTTTTGTGGATATATAACATACATAACAGTGTGTTATATTGTAACAGTGAATTATATTAATAATTATAATAATTCACTGTTATTATATAATAAAAGTGAATTAAGCTCAAGAGGGAAATTACTCTATTCGAACTCACAACCTTCACAGACAACTTACCAAACACTTAACGTCCATAAATTGTCCTTTATTTACGATGATCAGTGTTACATTTCTGAAACACTGGTCATCGTAGATGTCAACTAATCATCTTTAAAATGGGCTTTTCTTTTTTTATGCGAAAAGTTGACAAACGACCAGACGCTTCACCTGATGTTAAGTGAATACCGCCGCCCATGGAAATCTGCTCCACCCGAGGGTTACAGGTGCGTTGACAACCTTTTGAAAATTTGGCTCCAGTTACCTCACTCACTAGACGAAACGCGAAAGTATTTGTCATACTTCCACTTAACGCTGGTCTTCTGTGAGGTCTTGGTACTTACCCGGACGGGCCTGCCCATTCGTGCAACAGCCGAGGTTCCACCGTAATGGTTAAACTCTTTGAATTGATCATTCTTATCATTCTGGTCAATTCAGAGAGTTTAACCGTCCTTTTGGCAACTATAATGAAATTTGAAAGGCCATTTGACAGCTTAGTAGATTAGTCTAAGTCGATCAGTAACCGGGCGTAAATATCGCATTTTTCTCGAGGACTAGCTTTGCCGGTGTCGTATTCAAATGGGCTTTCAACCGAACGAGGCTCGACGACGGCGGCGGCTTCGGGGGTGATGGCGGGGTGGCGGCGGGACGGGGGGGCAGGTGTGTCAATATTGGCCGGCTGCGTGCGCCTTTCGGAAGCGCACCTGTACACATAAAACGCGTCAACGCACATCACGGACCCGTGCCTAGAAGTAATTAACGCCATTATTCAACAATAAAATAGGTGTCGGCTACCGAACAAGACTTCGCCAGGACACTACGCTCTATCACGACGTATCATGATTTATATTGGTGTGGAATTATAATTTTATTAATAAAAATAAATAAAAAATAAATAATGTCCCACTGCTGGGCAAAGGCCTCCTCTATACAGAGGGTATCAGGTCATAGTCCACCACGCGGCCCCACTGCGGATTGGCGGACTTCACATATTTTCGAAATACATTTTTTTATTATTTCGAAAATATGCAGGTTTCCTCACGATGTTTTCCTTCACCGCGGAGCACGTGATAATTCAGCACTTAAAGTTAAAAACTTCATTGGTGCCGGCACCGGGGATCGAACTCAAGGTGCTCGAGTATATATTGAATTAAAGGCGAGCGCCCGGACACTGAGCTATCACGGCTCTGAAATATAAAAATACAAAAATAAATATTTTTAAAAAATAATAGAAGCCTTAGTTGATCCTTATTATATCAGTTATCTGCCTAGTGAAAGTCACTTCAAAGTCGGTCCTGCCGTTTCAGAGATTAGCCGGAAGAAACAGACAGATAGGCAGACAAAAATTGTAAAAAATGTCATTTTGGTATACATATACCGTGTATACATCCATATGCATTTGGTAAAAAGCGGCTATTTTAATATTACAAACAGAAACTTTTATTTATCTATACATATGTATAAATGATGTGAAAGATAGAGACATTTTCGGTGGCATTTCTGTGTACCTTAAAATCTGGTACACGCGTGGGGGACTTTCGATTTTAATTACCAGTTAATTAATTATAATTAGCAACCTCAAATACTCTCGAAGCTAATTTACAATAGTTGAAAATGTTAAGTTTCTATATTATGAACCTTTTTGTTAAGAGTCGCTATCGTGTGAGGATTCTATCTAATACTAAGCACTGATAGTTCTATGACTTCTCTCTAGTAATTCGATAGCTTGGTAAAAGCGTATTTACTAGTGCCATTACCAACACATTTTATTCCAGGATACAAAAATAATTGCCCATTACGCTACGCAAAGCTTTCACTTTGAAGTCCCCGTCATAAAAGATTATTATGAATTTATTCTGAATAAAATATTTCAAATTTCACATCTGCGGTGCTCGTAAAGATATCGCGCAAACACGCGTAAACCATACAAAGAGATTTTAATACTGTTTGATGTCTGAGCTTGTGTTTCGGGCCGGCTTTGAGTAAACCGGTATGAACTGAAAGAATAAAATATTTTAAACAGGAAAAATGCATCTAAATTCTTCAAAAATTTAAGAGAAATTTGAAACATAGTTATTGCTGCATTCGTATTCGTGACCAATGACTTGCCAGCACAATCTGTTGTATTGGATATTATCGAAATTGCAGCATTAATCAACTAATGAAAGAACATTTCGCCCACGTATCCATCTATAAATTATTTAGACACTACCTAATAATCTGTAACTGTAAAGAATCCCGCACTTCGGTCAGGCTTTCCTTTATTTATATTAAATCGAAAGGATAAAATGGTAGCAGTTCAACCTTCACGTTTTCTGTTTTTTTACAGAACTGTCTCATGTACGCTTCTTATGTAAAAGAGATCGCCGAGTACCTCGATCTAAAGTCGCATATTGATTTGTGGACTTTTTAGAACGCCGAACCGCGTTCCCCAAATTTATGCCAAACGTAATAAAAAATGACTATTTTAAAATATTATATTTGTTTCATATTTAGTATGAGACATTTCAAATTGTTTCACAACATTACTCATTAAAAGTATATTATGTGAATGATACAGCCTTTAACTTGTCAAATGGTCTGAATCATACGTAATACCGTATATTTAACATAATTAATAATTTTACGTAATCGTTATTAGATTTATAGGATTTTCTTTTAATCAGAAGGTAAATAGTACTTTATCCCGCCTTATGGTAAACAGTGATGTTGTCTTAGTCGGCTATCTTCTAGTTTGATAAATACCTATGTGTTATTTCGTTAGCTTTACACAAAAAAAAAAGATTGCGTCACTGTCTGGGTGAGGTGAACGACATCTTCAGCTAAGATTTGTCACTGCCGCGGCTCTCAAAGACATTATTCATTCATTAGTACTTGTATTATGTCTACATCATTTATGTTTATAATGTCATCATCAACTTTTGGTTGTCCACTGCTGGACGTAGACCTCTCGTACTAACGCTATATTACTCGATCTTCCGCTGTCAGGGTAAGAGTTACTACCAGCAATATACCAGCGTCCTACGCTATGTTTGCCTAAGCGCGGGCTCCACTCAAGAACTCGTCTACCCCATCGGCTGGTTCTGCGACCTCTGTGAACAGGGAGCCCACTGCCATATCTGCTAGCTGTCCTTAGAGGAAGACTGCGAGAGAGAAGGGGCCATGCGGGGTGCATTCGGTAAACTTCTTCCAGTCTTTATGTCGTCAATTCCTCAGTCTCTTAAGACAAAGGTTTACTAAGGTAATGACCTACGGTGGCAAAACGTAAACAATCACGATGGGTCCAGTCCACAAGCTAAAAGTCTCCTGGAGAGTGCTCAGACTTGCTCTTTATAAGATCTTTCCTCCTTCATTGTTACAGATTCTCTAGTTATATGTAAGCACCACTTGGGTTACATAGTAGTTTGTACATCATAATGCCAGCGAATGAAATTAAGATAGTCATTCGTATTTTTTATATTTTCTTTTGTTGAAAATTAATACAAAGTAATTCTGTTTTATAACAGACTAGCTTTTCGCGGTTGAAGCCCTTAAAAATATATTTTTTTATTAAAATGAATTCTAAGTCCTTTTTAATAATTTTTTTTTTGTTGTTTCATTATTAGCGTATTTGGAATGGCTTTAAATCAAATACTTTACTTAGTAACAGTAAATCAATATTGTAGATGGTTTTGTAAAGTGAATACAAAAGTATCATATAACCGTACCTGGACTTGGGGCTCAGGTGTTCTAACTACTTGGTGGTTTGCGGTCGCGTTGGCGGTCGTGGCGATGTAGCTCATGTTATAAACAATAAACTTTATCGCGAACCACGGTTTGAGCAGCGCTGGTTCTGTCGGCGCGTAAGTACGTTGTGTTATTATATCTGCTATCTGCTACGGTTTTCGTTTTTCCATACTTTTACATAATATCTAACGTATTATTACTTGAGTCCGGTATTATAGCTTCACTAATTTGATATTCCACCCTATATCCTTAGACAAACAAAAAAAAATTACAAATTACTTTATTTCCAAAAAAAAAACTGCCAAAGGAAATCTAAATTTCAACGGAAATCCTTTTATGGTACCTATATTAATGTTAAATATGGTTATGCATGAAATGAATTTATTTTGTTACAGGCGTGCTAGTGAAGGTGTCAATATTCATTAGAAGTCAACACACTTAAATTTCTAAAAAAGCAATGGCAACATCTCTCGTTCCAATTATCGTTATAAAACGATATTCGAAATTGTTTGTATGCTGAAAAGGATATAACAATGGATGCGCCAAGTATTGCTTCAAATGCTAAAATGTAGATAAAAGACGTTTTGATTTTCGTCGGTGTGGCAATCAGTCCTTTAGCTTAGTGGCTAAAGCGTCAGACCGTGAATGCCGAAGACGTGGGTTCGATTTCCCACAGTACTTTATATATTAAAAAATATATAAAAATTACTTTATACATTATATGTTAAAAAGTAAACACACAATTTCAATAGAATATGCCCACTCTAGCCGTACAGACACATTAAAATTTAACTGGACGAGGGATGCGAACATTCTGTTTCACATCGTTGACGTACCTAATACGTATTACCCATATACTAGTAAACCTTAGTGCAAAAGCTGACGTCGAAATTTGGAAACCAGCTGGCGCGTGTATTCGTTACATTCTGACAGGGGTTGTGAGAAATTAACTATTTTTCTGTATATATTGTTTTCTTGATTTTACGCGAATATTATACATATTAAATGAAACTACTTTACGGATTTTATCGCGTTTTATATTGCGTTGTATTGTCTGTCCCGTGACCATGAACGCTGGAAAGGGTTCGAAACGTCGGGAATTTAAATCAAAATTAAAAACGCGATAAAATCCGTAAAGTAGTTTCATTTAATATATTTTTCTGTATATATAATTCTTCTGTACGTGTGTAAGTCAATGAACTCCTGCTAACTGGACCGATTTTAATGAAATTTTTTTTTCTTCAGGTCTATTCGAGAATGGTTAAATTCATAATTCGGTCCACTAGAAAATGTCATTTAGTATTTTTATTTAAAAGTTGATGTCGAATTTAAACAGTACAAGGTCTGTTGGGTCCGCTAGTTTGTATATAAGTAACGACTCGTAGACGACTATGTGGCGCAGTTCTTAAGTTATTGGCCTCCGCGCCGGGGGTGGTGGGTTCGACTCTCACACGGGATAAGTATTTGCGAGGTCTACAGATAATTGTGGGTACATTTACACATTCACACGGGTACCATTCATGCACAACATGTACAATATACAACACAAAATAACAAAATATATTTTATTTTTCTTCTGTTAATGTTTGATGACTTTAATTTAATTGAGTTATTCTTATATTTCACTGTATAAGCGGTATTAATTGTATGCGTCGCGGTATAAACGTTAGTTTTTGTTGCAATGATATATATATATATATATTAGTACCTAAATAGTAATATATATATATATATATATTACTATTCACTGACAGAGACCACTGGCAGAGAACGCCTAAAGTCATTAAGTCCGCCTATTTTATTCCGTATTTAAGAAATTGCAACAAACACTGAATAAAAAAAATGTCAGCATATGACGCGTATGGATCATTTTTCACCGATTTCGAAAGGGGGAGGTTCTCAATTCGACTGTATTTTGTTTGTTACCTCATAACTTTTGACTGAGTGAATCGACTTTGATGATCCTTTTTTTATTTGAAATCTAGTGCTTCTCATGTAGTCCCATATTAATTTCATTGATATTGAATCTTGGGCTCTGGAGATACTTAGGGAACTCCTGAAAATCGATTATGAAATGAAAATAGAGCGAGATATTTGAAGTCAGTTTTGTTTTTCGTTGGTAAAACAATGGTTATACATGCATCATTGGGGATTGTGGGAGCAAAATGAAACTGCACAGCTCTTACGCTATAGAACTATACTTAAATAACAGTGTTAAATGTAAGTGTTGGTGCTAGCGGCGCGAAAGATGGCGCTGAGATCACTGTTGCGGCTGCGGTGGCACCAAGCGCGCAGCGAGCAGCAGAATGTCCCTCTTCTCCTTCGGGAAGCGAAGCTCCCGGGCGGCGAGCCGGGCCGCGCGTAGCTCCCTCTCTGCCCTGATAGAATGACGTCATTAGCACCTCCTAACCATACTCAGTCAACAGGGGAACAGGTCCTTTTTCATGTGAGAATGTGAAATATAAGACAACCGCCGCCCGTTGACATTAGCAACACCCGTAGGGTTACAGATGAATATTGTTACTTGATTGATTGATGCCTTGCCTTTTAATGCAGTGGGCCTTGGCTACCTTACTCACCAAACGAAGTGCGGAAGTCAAACGCCTCAATTCACGCCGGTCTTCTGTGAGGTCGTGGCACGTCCTCAGAACGACCTGCCCCCTCATGCAACAGCTAAGACTCTTGCGTGACACAGTTAAAAATATAATCTCTATTTACCAATTTAAACAGAGCCTTTTTCGCTTAAACGTTGTCCTGAAATGTTTTCATTTATTTACGATCATTTCTTGTAGCTCTTCGGCGGATGTTGTACGTGTTGTCACGCTCGTTATTATCAGTACGGACTGCCCGCTTCAGGTTTTATGCCAAATCAGTGCGTCACTGCTGTTCGATAAAATACTTATCGGGCAAAAAAACTGCCTTGCTATAATGCCGTGTGAACGGAGCCCCAAAATGTCAACGACCTTGATTTCGCAGTGATGTAACAGAGAAATAATTAAAATTGCTTTTTTTGCTTACTTTGGGTACAATTCTCAATTTAAGTTTGCGCATATAAGATGACCTTCACAAAATAAATATATACCTAGGATCAAGTACATTGAATTTCGTGAGAAAAGGTTTAATTACTTCGAATGTAAAATTCTACTCGTAGATATATAGTGTTATACATACGTCTATAAATTTATATCCAAGGGAAAAAGACTAATTGCAAAGATATGCGAAAGGATTAAGCAATAATTTTAATTTGACACGGCATAAAATAAATTAGCACATATTAATAAAGGTATTAATATTCAAAGCACGTTTCGTACGCCTAACATCCTCCAACTCGATCCGGATTTCTTTTAGATCTCGGTTTGCTTTTAGAGAAAAACAGATAAATCGTAATTTTAAAATGAGAACATCAAAGGTATCCTGTGTAATTTTTTTCTTCAAAAAATTACGCTTTGTGTGGCAAAGGCAACCAGTGAACAAGGTGAAGGTAAACAATTTCAGTACGATTACGCGAAATTTGCGTATGACCTGTGTTGAAAGTCCATTACTGTATCTTCAGATGTGTATTCTATTTGGTCATAACACCGAAGTCGACGAAGAAAAATGTATACGAGTGTGCATGTAATTTTTAAACCATTACTATTTCTATCTCTGTCTATATAGCGTTTTAATTGAAACCACAGTTATATTTATAAAATCATATCCATTCAAATGCCCTTCTTCAAAAAATCAAACCTTTATGACATACAAAAAAAAGAATTAAAATATAAAAAAAATCTTTGATACCATGCAGAAATGAAGCTTTTGGCTATTTAGCACCTATGTGTGATCTATAAGACATGTTGGAAGGCATGTTTGAAGACATGATGCAAAACATGTTCGAGCACTTGCCTGGCGAGCTCCCCGCGCAGTACTCCACCAGTGCCCGCTGCAATGGAGTCGCGTTCCTTGCCGGCCCACTCGAGCGCCATTTGTTCGCGCATCGTGTCGTCGAGCGCCCTCGCCGAGTAGTGCGCGACCACCTCCTGCCTGGAGCACTGCCGCTCCCGCATCGCTCGCAGCGAACCGTTCCAGTGCAGCAGCTGGAACACCGTCATCAGCTCCTGGAATTCCAGCATCGTGCGCCCCTTGTTCGCCTCCAGCATAAACCTGTTGACAAGTTTGCCCGTCAATGTGATACGTCATTAACAAAGTTATTAAAGTATAGATGGAATTTTTCCTTGAAAAAAGTTTGAAATTTGTAAAAAATTGAAAAAGATCTAGTAGCACTTTTGAATCATTTCCTCTAAACGTAATCCATACCACAATGAAGACCATGAATTCTGACACACTATGCATCATTTCGTAATGTAAATTAAGAATTTTCTTAGTCCAGGTTTGGCCTGGTGCAGTATTTTAAATTTGCAGACAGCAAGATTTATATCTTAAGAAAGAGAATTTTATTGGAAATTATGAATATGAGATTTTGATGTAATTGCTCTTTGTAATGAATGGATCTTTACTAGCACTTAACAAAATGTCTGCAAAGTACCCCAGAAATTTTACTGTTGGAAACAGACTGGAATAGCGACAAAACGTGCTAGCTTAAAATTGGAATTTCGAAATTATACATAATACATATCAGATGCTTAAAACGCGTACTTAATGATAACTAGGCTTGTGCTGGAAGTGGGATTACCAAATCACGAAGACAGCAGCCTGTACCCACCTGAAGGCTGCAATTCCAGCATTAGCGTCCTGATTGTGGGCGGAGTTGTCGCCTGCGAACGAGGCGCGCGCTTCGGCCACCGCCTTCTCAATGAAATGGTCCGATATGAGACGCGATTCGTGGTCGTTGAAGACGCTGTTCATCAGAGCGATCTTGGCTGCGCTCCTCCTGGCCTCCGCCTTCGTCGGGCAGTTCTGTGGCGGAACAGTTGAGAGTTCTTCTTAGATCGGTGCCGGTGACCAATTGGTCACAAGCACATTAGTAATTACTAATGTGCTTTTTCTAAAGTAGGGTTACGATTTGCAGCGATTCAGATATAGATATATCTGTAAAGTCTAGGGTATTCAAAAATAAGTAGTTCCTAAATTTAATCAAAACGATGACGAGACCATGTTGGTTTTTAATAATGTGCATTCATTCTATGAGTGGCGGGGTCTATCCAATGGTCTTTTCCATTCAAATTTAGATTAATAAAATTACATCTCTAAACTGGGCACGTGATGAAGCATTTTAGTCAATTTAGATGATAGAGGGAGTAGAATAATTTTAAAGTGGGCGATAATTATGTTCACGGCTTTTTAAAACCTAATCTTACGATCTAATTCTAACTATACCTTGTACACTTTAACAATTTATTGCTTGACTATAGATTTACGAGGGTTCATGTTCTGCTATAAAGACCGGTATATTTACCGATTGTCTTCATAATGTCTCCATTAAAAAGTACTGTTGTTTGTACCGGATATTTCGTCCGATACCTGAAAACTTCCGAAGCAAGCGCCGCCGGGGAGCGTGACGTAGCAAACGTAGGGCGGGTGCGCTGCGGGAACCGATTCATAAATGACGAGGGCGCCTCCACCACCGGCAGCGCCACCACCACGTGAGGCCTTCGCCTGCCAGAACTCCTGCAAGGCCTCCACCACGTTCACCGTCGATATCACGCCGTCTGCTGGACAAAAGATGATTTCTCACTTACTAAACTTAACTTTTACCTCTACAGCTGCGTTCATGGAGTTTCCTGGATGGTATTTGTCAAAGGAATCTATTTTGGTGGATCTCACGTGTTAACGATATTGAAGAAAACGCCAATGGTCAATTCAGTTTATAAGGGAAGGGTCAAAAGTCTACAATTAACTACCTAAGCCCAACAAGGATTCTTATGGTTATGATTATAATTTGTGTGGAAGGGGTTGGGTAGTTAGTCTCATTGACCATTGTGACCTATAAGGTCTTTTGTAGTCATCCCTTCGAGTTATAAAGCCTTCTCCAATCCAACAACCCTCATGAAGTTGACAGTCGATGGTCGAGAGGCTGAGAGTCAGGGCTTCTTTGGCCAACTTGGCCCTCCCAGTCCCCGACTCCTAATATTGAAAAGGGCATCGCATTCACAAATTATGTGAAGCATTGTTTTCTCGTCATCACCACAGAATCTACAGAATGCCTCTCCCACAGATAGCTCTTAATAGAAAATATCCACAATAACTTTCAAGGTAAATAAACTGTTCTTAGTCCTCTCTGGTTACGGTCACGGAAGTTACATTCTACACGCGAGCTATGTTACCACGAGATTGAAGTCTTTATTTGTCAGAAGTAAAATTGAAACCCTTTGTTTAAGCACGTATGAAACTGCGTGGTGAAATTTGCTAATATTCATCCTTATGTAAATATAATTTCTTAATGTCAACTCTCTTATTGCTAGATTTAGTGGCTGAAAGTTATTATTACGAATAAATGTCAAAAATGATAAACGCTTGTAAATCTTGAGATTATTAAAAATGAGGTAAAATTATAGATAATGAAGTAAAGAATCTATGAAGTAAAATTATACAATGAAATGAAGAAAAATACGAATATATGTTTCTGTGGTAGGGTCACGCAATATTCTTCGCTGTTGCACGAATGGGCAGGCAGACCGGAGTGAAATCGAAGTTTTATACTTCTTCGTAGTCTAATACACGAAGTGACTTGATAACCAAATTAATTACCTTGATTTTAATGATACATACATTCAAACGTAAGAAGATCTATGTAAATTTTTTTTTATGTGAAAGTTGCCAAACGAGCAGACGGTTCACCTGATGTTAATTGAATACCGCCGCCCATGGACATCTGCTATACCCGAGGGTTGCACATGCGTTGACAACCTCTTAAAAATTGAGCTCCGGTCACCTCACTCACCAGACGAAACGCGAAAGTATTATACTTCCACTTTACGCCGGTCTTCTGTGAAGTCGTGGTACTTACCCGGACGAGTCTGCCCATTCGTGCAACAGCCGAGGCTGCCGCATGGCTCTACAACCGTAAGTTGGTATGTTAAATGTACTCTAAACATAATAATGTACCTATATGAAATAGTAACAATATGAAAAATTTTAATAGAGAGTCGACGCGATGTAATTTACTAGGTTTTCGACGTAGGTCGAATAAAGCGCGCCTTTTGTTTCGTATCATTGCCCAAGGGTAATAATTCTTTAGGATTGCTACTCTCGTTTGAAGATTCTCGTTTGAAGAGCGTTCTGAAATACACAAAGTAATGTACATTTAACCGACCGCTAAAGCAGTGTAATGTTTTGCGAGCGTATGTGTGTATTTATGTATGCATGCATGTGTGTGCACTTTTGCAAGCTATGCAGCCTTAGCCTCTCTCGTTTTGACAGATTTCAACATATCATTTGGTTCGTCATTAGGTACGTCTCACCTGTGGGAGAGATATAGGGTACATTATTTCTAATATTTACTTGAATTTACGCAGATAAACATTTCAGTCTACTTAATTAGCTTTATAATGGATGAATATTTAAATTTTTATGAATATTTGTGTTATCGCACACAGTTCACGGCTAACATTTATGTTATGAAAATATCATATAACAACTAAATTATTTAGTCTGTGTGACTGACTAACATGCCAGTCTCCACATATGAAATAAAAATGTGGGAATACGATCCCTATACACACAACTTTTACTTCGGTATCGCGAAAACAGGTTCCATCAAAGCTGCATGAATGAACTAGCTCGGAGATATACCATGGCATCAGTAAAGACAAGAGTGAAGTACTTTTAATTCTGAACAGCCTTTGGCATGTTGTGAACATTTCTGGTGTTGAACGTCCATATTCTGCGGTCCTCAATTACCATCAGTTGAGTTGGAAAGCGCTTGCTAAGCCCCTTTTGAATTTTAAATTAACACACACTACCTTCATACTTAAAGTTAAATGAAGCCATTTAAAAATATCAGATACTGAAATCAACTGCTACCCTTAATGTGTTAGTCTGTCATCGTACCCTCGGACCTCGTACCAAGTAGAGTAAAATATTTTCAACAATATGACACATAGAAATAATTCGATAAAGAAAACAAAATTTCAGTTCCTTTACGCTTAAACGCACTCGCTTATCGCAGAAGACATAGCCTCATTCTTCATTGGGCGTGAGTGCTCTAAATATTTAAGCAGTTTTTTGGATACTCACGCAATAAACATTGACCGTTGTTAATTCGATGTGATTCGTAAAACTTATTATTCTTTTCATTTATTAAGTTATATTAATACGATTTGCTCATCTGTAGGTTTTTATGAACAGCGGTATAGCTAAATATATAAAAAATACTGAAATTACAAAAGTGAAATGTTACTCTTTTGAACATTCACTGTGGTAGGGCTACGCACCAGCTTCTGCTGTTGCATTATTGGGCATGGAAAATGGGCGTTCGGGGCGGCGGTAATCAATTAATATCTGACGAAAATTTTCACAATATTATCTAATAATCACATTAAATTAAACCGGCCAAGTGCGAGTCGGACAAGTGCATGAAGGATTCCGTACTATTTATCTGTAAAACGTCAAAAATCATGTCTGTCGTATGGGAGCCCCACTTGAATATTTTGTTCATTTTGTTTTTTAGTGTTTCTCCCAGGTCGGAAACAATTATTTGTGGGTCAAACAAATATTTGTATCTAGTGGAAATAGAACGCACAATCGCCGGCGCCGAAGCCAATACCTTGGCAACTGTTCCACGAAATGATCAATGTGAACTTGCGACATTACGACATTTTAATACCGACTCCGGTGTACAGGCTTACCACCAGGTTCAGTGCCAGATTAACCACATAGCAAGAATAGCAATTACTACGGGCCCCGCGCGAAATGGGCCCCGCATATTTAAAGCCACTCATCTCGGTCTGAGCGTAATTTTTTGAGTGACACTTATTAAGTAAGTAAGAGTATTGAATTGTTTTTTACCACTTCATATATAAGAACGGTAAGTAAGGTTTATCACCTTCAGAATACTCTGAAAGTTTTGTCTTTATGGCGATGCCGTTTCCTGGGAAGGAGATAGAGTTGTGTGGACATTATGTTCATGAAAACCCTATGCTAACGTCGCATATATAAGATTATGGGGCCACTCACATTTGTGCCTAGAGTACAGTGGCGATGCCTTGTCCTGTTTGGGATATGACAGGATGTCATTTGTCACTAACAAATGATACGCGCCAAGCACTAGTTTCTATGATTGTCCAACCCAATATTGAAATTGTAATATTATTGTGTATATATTAATAACACTGATGTCTATCAAATTTTCTATTCTTACGTTTTCATCAGACAGATAAAAAATATACTCGCTTGTTTGTAATTTTTATTTTTATTTTATGCGAAACGTTGTCAAACGAGCAGACGGTTCACCTGATGTTAAGTGAATACCGCCGTCCATGGACATCTGCCACACCCGAGGGTACAGATGCGTTGACAACCTTTTGAAAATTGGGTGCCGGCTACCTCACTCACCTGACGAAACGCGAAAGTATTTGTCATACTTCCACTTTACGCTGGTCTTCTGTGAGTTCGTGGTACTTACCCGGACGGGCCTGCCCATTCGTGCAACAGCCGAGGCTGCAGCGTGGCCCTACCACCGTTAATTGTTACATAGTAATTATATTGTATCAAACCACGGCGGGCAACTACTCGCCTACAGTGATGCACAGACAATAAATACTTGAATGACGAATGTTACGTACTTGTATATTGTACTATTTTTGTAAAAAAAATGACATCTCTAATAGTTGTAGGTCAATAGAGACATATTTCTATTTTTTTTAGCTCTTCTTTCCAGCTTGATCTATATCTAAGTATTAAAATTTCAAACCAAAAACTTAATTATAATTTATAAACATATAGACTTTTTTAGTCACGAAATACTTTTAGCATCCATTCGTGAAAAGCAGTGGTTTATTAGTATGATTAGACTATCCTAAATATAAATTACATATTTTATTCAAAACGTTTCTTAAATAACGTGGATGATCATTGAACGCGTGTCGTATGAACCTGTTTGAAACATTAATTAAAATAAATTATGATGAAGAGAAAATTTGGAGCGAACGTAATTACAGCTGCTGGTTGCAAACGCACAGTTTATTTCAGAGCACTGATTTTAAATTCCAAATTATCGGTGAATGAATACCGCTCGTCACTCAGTTTAATGTGACAAAGTTCAAGAGCTGTACACTTAACATTTTAATTTATGCGTTGCCCAATTGCTTCTAAGATATTTTTAATGGCAAAGTAGTTAACAGATAATGAGCGAGAGATTGCGAATTATTTGGTAACGAATTGCTGTTATTAGAATGGTTATCATTATTACTTTAATGGTAAGTATACGTATGTACTAAAATAGTAATGGAAATTCATATGTTTAAGAGTTCTCCAAGAAGTCAATGAGTACTGCATTGGTACCGTATTAAGCACACTTAGTCATAACTTTACCTTAGACAAAAAGTCAAGAACTATAGTAATTACAGATGACCAAGGAGGATATTACATCTAATATAATATTAGTTCAATCTTTCGTTATAGTTACTATAGTTATAAAATTAATAATAACTAAATAAAGCAGTCTAATAAAAAGCCTTTGGCGGAAAAATGATTTTAATACAAATATACA